CCTGCTAATAACGTCAATGACAGCAACATTTACAGTGATTACTACCTCTGCTATTTTACTGAGCATCTTTTACCTGCCCGGTGCCATGTGACCTGATGGGCTGCATTTCTTCTAATCTTTATAATCCCAGGAGTTAAGAGTTTTATAAATTTGGATACTTTGCCGCAGCGAAGTTACTCTCTCCCCTTTCACATGGTTGTATGGCTGATAAGTTACACAACACCAACTGCCACCCAGCTGTGTTTGACGCCAACCGATAGAAGTTTCTAGTTTTGTTTTGTCTTCTAGAAGATTTTGTTTCCACTAAGGAAGAAATTTCAAAATGAAATCATACTTACATTTCTCTTTACAAAGGAACACATGGATGAAGCCAACACCCTACCAAATGCTGTTTTTTTTTTTTTGAAATAGATTCTCTTGGCAATATTCGGATCTAAATATTCTGTTGATCTGTATTTAATCAGGAGCCAAGTCACCTCCTCTCCGTCTAGACAGGCTTCCTCTGTGTAGTCTTGAAATCACTCTGTAGACCAGGCTGGCCTTGAACCCTGAGATCCACTTGCTCCTGTCTCCCCAGCACTGGGATTAAAGGCGTGTGCCAGCACTGCCTGGCTGGAGCCAAGTTTTAAAAACTATTCTTTGATGGATGTATACATATTTTGAAGTAGTCATGGGAAGTAAAGTTATTCATTAATTGCCTGGCACACATACTAGTAATAAATGAAATTTTGTTTTTGTTTGTCTGTTTTGAAGATAAGGCCTCAGGGTACAGCCATTGACCTGGAACTCACTATGTAGATCAGGTAGGCCTCAAACTCAATGAGATATGCTTGCCTCTTTCTTCCCAGCCCAGAGATCAAAGATGTGCATTGCCATGCCTAACATAAAGGAAAATTTAAAGAAGGTAGTGTGTATAGAGTTTAGGAATTTGCTACAGAAGAAAGGTGACATTATATTTTTTGTGTGTGTTGAGAGTATTTGAGTAAGATTTGTACGCCATAATAAAACTTGACCACAATTGTGCCTATGTGTGTGTGTTTTAATGTGTGTGTATGTGTGTATATGTGTGTCTGTGTGTATGTGTGTATATGTGTTTGTGTGTGTTAGGCTGGAAATTGACGTTAGTTGTCTTCCTTAGGTGCTTTCTCTGTTATTTTGTTTTGTTCAAGGCCATTTTTAGTTACATGGTTAGTTAGTAACATCCTTAGTTACATGAAACAAGTCAGCTTGTTTCAAAAGGAGAAGAAAGCGTAATTTAAAAATAGGAATAAGAGTCTCTTCAAATTCAAACATCATTTAAACGATTCTAAGGTGAGATTTTGACAGATGGTAAAAAGAGCAGTTGCCTAAGAGATGCAGTTTACAGTAATTCTCCACAAAATGCACCCAAATGTCTGCCAAGAAGCATCTCAGATCATGTCTCAGCTTAAATCCCATCTTCTCCAAAAGACATAGTCAATATTTTTTTTTTGCCGTTTTCCTTTATGAATAGATTTTATTTATCCATTTGTTTATTTTGGGGCAGTTTTTGGTTCATAGCAACTTTGAGAGAAATGTACAGAGTTCCTATAAACACCCTCCCCAGCTCCCCAATCATAACTGTCCTGAGATATGGTTGTATGTCTGTGAGATTGACCTATACTGACTGGAGGATCTAGCCCAGGATCTTGTGCATGCTGGGCAATCACTCTAATAGCCCCAGAAGGTTCACTTGTGATATTCTGCATTCTGGGGATATAAAGAACATGTATCCATTGTTACAGTAGTATCATACAGATTTCATGCATCTCTTCCTCCCCACTAATATCTGACAACCACCAATGTTTTTAATTACCTTGTGACATTATTATTATTTGAGACAGACTCTCATGTATTTCCAGCTGGTTTCAAATGCTCTATGTAGCTGCATGTAGATGACCTTGAACCGCTGACCTCTTGCCCCTATTTTCCAGGTGCTGGGATTACAGGTCTGTACCACCACACTCAGCTTTGTGCACTGCTGGAACACAGAGACCAATTTCAGGGATCCTTTCTCAGGGACCTCCCGACATAGTATCTGTCACTGGGACCCAGATATAGATGAGATTGGCTGGCCAGTGAGCCCCAGGGATCCTCCTGTCTCTACCTTCCCAACAATGGGATTACAGGAGTGTGCCACCATACCCAGATTTTCATGTGGGTGCTGGGGTTTGAACTCAAGTCTTCATGCTTGCAAAGCAAGCTCTTTACTGACTGAGCCATCTCCACAGCCCTTATTGCTGTTGTTTTCTGGGTGAGGGTCTCATGTATCCCAAGCTGACATCCAACCTGTACTGCTGAAGATGACCTGGAGCTTCCAGTTCTCCCTTTCCCAGGTGCTTTGGTTATGGGCAAGCACCACCACATAGTAAAAGATAAAGTTTTTTTGAACACAGATGTTTCTATGTTTTGGAAGTGGACTTTGGATTTCAGGGGAGGAAAAAAAGGATAATGACTTTGTGGATGTGGCAGTGCCATTTCACTGTGACGATCAAGTCTGGGGAAGAGGAAAACAAAGCTCATGGGGCAAAGGAATAATAAAACCAAGAAGTAATAAAATGTAGGAATTTGCTATCTCCCTTTGAGTGCTATTTTCAGTTAACCAAACTGTCTTAGTTAGAGTTCCATTGCTGTGAAGAGACACCAAGACTAGGCAACTCTTATAAGGGACAACATTTAATTGGATCTGGTTCAGAGGTTCAGACCATTATCACTATGGCGGGAAGCATGGTAGCATCCAGCCTAACATGGGGCTGGAGGAGGAGCTGAAAGCTCTACATCTTGATCCAAAGGCAGTCAGGAGAAGACTGGCTCCCACTTGGCTAGGAGGTGGATCTCAAAGCCCACCCCACAGTAACACACTTCCTCCAACAAGGCCACACCTCCAACCTGTGGGCCAAGCATATTCGAACCACCACACAAGGTCTTCTCATTCTCTAGAAAAAAGCCCTTTTGATTGAAGGATAATTAACAAGTCAGCTTTGTTACAGGCTTATAGGATTCGATTGATTAAAACTCAAATTTTACTGCTGTTTTTTAAGGGTTTCTATGTTAGATCTTTGCCAAGTCTATTTATCTTCATGTTACAGCTAGAGCATGAGGGTGAGGGATGGATCTTACCATCTGAACAGGTGCTGGAGTGACAGGCTTTGTCAGGACTGCCCAACTGTCTTTAGGTGATTTTGGTTTCTCATTTTGTTTGGGTTGCTATGTTACAGAACTTTCTATGACAGTGGGATGCTTTATAGCTTCAGTGTGTCAAAGCCATGGAATCAGCATCAGTAACGAACCAGAGCTTTTTTTTGTTTTTTGCTTTTTTTTGTTTGTTTGTTTTTCTTTCGAGACAGGGTTTCTCTGTGTAGCCCTGGCTGTCCTGGAACTCACTCTGTAGACCAGGCTAGCCTCGAACTCTCGAACTCAGAAATCCACCTGCCTCTGCGTCCCAAGTGCTGGGATTAAAGGCGTGCACCACCACTGCCCAGCAAGGAACCAGATCTTAAATTTAAATTTTAATCAATACACCTGCTTAGTGGATATTGCTAGTATGAGTCTAAATAAATGGCTTCCAAACTGGGGAGCACAGGTCCCAGGAAGGGAAGAGAATACACAGACTGCAGGAAGAAAACGTGTTAGTCCATATATCTACGTCACTATTTGGCATGTCTTATTTAATATTTAATAACGAGGTAAACTGTAACAGACATATACGTGCACACATAGTACATTATTATTTAATTTTTTTTTATCATTCTTACATAGCACTAAGCTTGTGCTTGGCATATTACCATTACAAATACTGGTTCAACTATGACTCTTTGAGGTACTCTTTTATTACCTCAGTTTTACACAGAAAGGAACTAAGGGTAACTAAGCATGTTCAAGGACACAGGTTGGTGGCAAAGCTGAGACTTTGAGTGTCGACAGTCTAGCTTGCATCTTTGTACAGTATGTTAAATTAAGTGTATTGGTAGGGAGGGCAACATTTTTATTGATGACACGAGTGACCAAAACTGTAAACAAAGCAGTTCCTAATCTCAGATTTTAAAGGGATCTTAGAGTGTGCTTAGTCTAGCACATATAAAGATTGTGTGTGTGTATGACTGAAATCCTGTAAATATCCCTAGTATTACAATTGATCTCCTTTGCCAAATTTTGTTCTGGATACTAATTTAAAACAACTGTGTTTGTTGCACAAATATTGAAATAGGGAAGGATGGGGAGAACTTAAAGAATTCCAGGCACAAGAGCAAGAGGAAAACCAACAGAATCCCCCCCCCCCCCCAAAAAACAGGCTCGTTTGTGGATAGAATGGTGGGTTGGTTGATGGACCACTAATTCAACAACTGGCTCTCAATCTTCTTAATGCTTTACTACAGCTTCTCGTATTGCAGTAATCCCCACTATAAAATTATGTGTTATTACTTCATAACTGTAAGTTTGCTGTTATGAACCATAATGTAAATATTTGTGTTCTCCTATGGTTTTTAGGAGACTCCTGTGATCCACAGGTTGAGAACGGCTGAACAAGAGGTTTAAAAAAAAATCCCTGAAATAATAATATTTACTCTAACCCAATTTCAACCCCTTCCCTGTTTAAATGGTGTGCTTTGTCCATCCCGCCGGCCTAGATGCCTCCGCAACGTTGATCTTAGCAGAGTTCTAGGTACGTGAAGCAGTTGGCTGAGGTCCGGGCGCCTGGGAAGTTTTGAGAAGAGCGGAGTTCTTAGGTATAAGGTTACACAGAAGCGTGCGGGGAAGGAGTGTGGGAAGCGCAGAGCCCTGGCTTGGGAGAAAGCGATAGCAGGTGCTCGGGAAGCATGGCCGAGCCGGGCGGGGCTGGCAGACGCGTTTGGGTGGCGAGACGCAAAGCCTTTCCTGTTCCTTAGGGAGGCGTGGAGGCGGCTTCCGCCCATTTTTCCAGAGAACTTCGCGGACTGCTTTAAGAGCCCTCTCTGAAGGCTAGCCCGCCCGAGTCAGGAAAGTCAGGTCAGGCGACCCAGGATTGCCTCAGCCGGCTCCGGTGAGCACCACCTCTGTACAGAGACGCGTCCCACAACCCCGCCCGGAGAGGCCCCCCAGTGGGTGTGGCCTCCGCGGAAGGCCCCGCCCCTTGTGCGGTCGCGTGGGGATGGAGGGGAAGGGCAAGGCGATGGGCGGGGCGAGGGAACCGGGAAGAAAGGGCAGGGCGGGTGTGCTCGTGCCCGCGTTTGTCGCTTGGGCGGGGGCGCGCCAGTGCGCGCGCAGGAGGGAAGCCAGCCCGGGCGGCCGTTGTCGGGTTCGACTGGAGGAGCGGTGAAGTCACCTGCGAGCGGCTGCGCCCGCCGCGTCCGGATCGCGCCGGCCTCGCGGGGCCCCACGCACCCTGCGAGGCTGGGGCCGGGGAGCAGGCAGAGTCCGTGCCCGGAGTCGGCGACGACGAGGAGGACTCGCACCCTCGGCGCCGCCGCCCGCGTCGGGCCGGGTAGGTGCCGTGGGGGTCGGGGCGCACTGGGCGGCGGCGGGCTGGGGAGGGAGAAGCGAAACTTTGCGGGCGCCTGCCCCCGCGGGCCCGGGCTGGCCGTGGCGCGGGGAGGTGTTGGCGCGGGCGGCGGCGGCCGACGCCATGTTGGGGTCTGTGGGAAACGGGGCGCTCGGGCGGCTCCCCTCCGGGCCGGCGCTCGGGCTGGAACCGCCTCGGTCCCGCCGCGCCCGTCCGCGCCCGTCCGCGGGACGCTGCCCGGAGGGCCGGGACCGGGGAGGGCGACTGGGGACTGGACCTCGCGTCGCCCCCGAAGTTGTGGGGCGCCAGGACTCGGATCCCCAGATTGTGCGGTCTGAAAACTTTGCACGGTCTGGGCATCAGGGGCTCGCTGTGACTCCAGCAGCGTATTTTGTATGACTTTATATGAAAATGGCATCGCACAAATTGGCTCAGATAGGAGCAGTGGCTTACACGCTATTTGGAGGTTTTCTTTTTTTAAAGTTTTATGATCTTTTGCCGAGTTTTTTTTTTTAATGTTATTAAAGGCCGAGAGCTGGTTCCCCAAGTTGCTCGAGTAGCCTAGAGTATTAAAGCAATAAGTTCTGTGAGTGTGCAGTGGAAATGAATAGAATCCAGGTTACATACACCTAAGCAGTAATTCAGACTCCCAAGTACATTAAACTGGTAAATGCCTTCTTTGTTATGTTTTAATACGTTGCCTAAGAGACTTGTTAAAGAAACATTTAGAGTTAAACGTTCAGATGAAACGTTAAGGCAAGTGTTGCCTTAAGACTAAAGTGAAATAGCCTAGTGTGTTGGCTCATGCCTGTATTCTGAGCACTCCCGCAGGCAGGGGCGGAAGCACCGCTGCGAGTTCAAGGCCAGCCTTGGGTATTCATGAGCCTGTCAGAAACAAGCTCTCCAAACCAGCCATCCACAACAAACAGAATAGGGTGAAGTGATCTTGACGTTTCTTTTTCTTCTTTTTTCTTTTGGTTCCTTAAAGGTACGTGAGTTTTGAACACTTACCTTTGTATCATTGTAGCTTAAGGGGCGGCAGGGCTCAGGTTAATTCAGAATTAACAAAGGCTATTTTTAATCACCACAGGTCATGATAGCATTGAGAGGTGAATGGTATTAAGTTGCTTATTTGGAAAGATCTTATAATCGCGTCCTCTTCCCCCAAACGAAACTGGTGTACAGCATGAAGCAGCCTAGTAAATAAATACCCTTAAACATAAAGACGGCTTTAAAATTATGTTAAATGGGCTGAAAAGGCTCTTAACAGTGCAAAAGCCATAAATATGCTGTGGGGGGTTTCCATTTTTACTCCTTAATTTTTAAAAATCATTTTTCTGCATGGGGAAGGGGGAGGCACATAGCCCCAGACCTCACATGGAGAGGTCAGAAGACAAATTTCATGAGTTTTTTTCTCCACCATGTGAGTTGTGGGGATGGGCTGTAGGTTGTCAAGCTTGGGGGCCAGCTGCTATCATTTTGTGAGGCACCTTTCTGACCTCTCTATTTTTAGTTATATCTGTTTATTGTGTGTGCGTGTACATTTGTGTGGGCACATGGCACAAGTGTGGAGGTCAAAGGGATAACTTTTGGGAGTTGCTTTTCTTTCCACTTTCTGCCTTCAAGTATAGAGCTGAGGCTGTCAGGCCTGGCCTCAGAGCCTTAACCCACTGAGCCATCTCCCTGGCCTTTTTAGTCTTTACTAGGTAAAAGTGCTTTCTTAGATATGTCAGCTTTCTTAGAAATTTTTTTTGGGGGGGGTATTTCGAGACAGGGTTTCTCTGTGTAGCCCTGGCTGTCCTGGAACTCACTCTGTAGACCAGGCTGGCTTCAAACTCAGAAATCTGCCTGCCTCTGCCTCCCAAGTGCTGGGATTAAAGGTGTGCGCCACCACAGCCTGCTGTTTTTTTTTTTTTTTTCAAGTTTTTCTTTTTCTTTAAATTTTGCTTCCTGGTCAGGTCAGGTGTGTGTGTGTGTGTGTAGAGGACCAAAAACTATCAGAAAGAAGTTACTAGCCTGATACCACAGATCTTAACAGTCAGGCTGGTGACTCTGCTGAAAGCTCATCGTTTGTAGAGCATAACTCATCCCTGTGCGGCATTCTCTGCCCATCTTTTTATCAGTTATCCTTCTGATTCAGAACTGATAAATTCCATCTGCTAAAGAACTGATAATGTTGCTGGGGCGGTGGTGGCGCACGGCTTTAATCCCAGCACTTGGGAGGCAGAGGCAGGCGGATTTCTGAGTTCGAGGCCAGCCTGGTCTACAGAGTGAGTTCCAGGACAGCCAGGGCTACACAGAGAAACCCTGTTTTGAAAAAACCAAAACAAAAAAAAAAAAAAAGAAAAAGAACTGATAATGCAAGGGTATGATACTGAATTTTTTTTTTCTTAAAGACTTCATGGAAGCTGGGAGTGTAGTGGAGCATATCTGTAATCCCAGCACTCGGAGGCGGAATTGCTTTGATCTGGGATTCATGGTGAAACTGTGTCTCAAAACCAACCAAAACCAAAACAACCCTTAGACCTGTCCTCTTTCTTTTCTGCCCACTGTGCAGTCCTGCTTCCACTTCCGCTTTCTCTTGGTGGGGGGATTCAGTTCTCTTCCCACAATGGCGTCCTAGGAGTACCACATAGGTCTGTAATGGCACGCCCTTGACAGCAGGCATCATGTGACGTTCCATTTCCTTGTCCATCTCCAGCAAGCTAGAATGCAACAGATGCTCAGCAGAGGTTTGAGTGCATTCCTTGTAAATAGTCTTCATGAACTTCCTGAATTGTAGTATCTGTAGGGTGGTTGTTAAACTTCTCTGTAGTCTGTCCTATGTACCACCAACTTCAGTAAGTCAGCGGGTGCTGTGTTTGAACTCTTAATGTTTTCTTTTTAGACATAATTAACTTTGGTGACTGAATTTTGGCATGGGCATACAGACTTGAATATTTATGAAATTCCCAAGCAGACAATGGACTGATGGGTAATTGTGATGGAGAGAAGCTGTGGATGGACAAAAGGATGAAAAAAAAATCAGTGTAACATGTGATTGAATTTTTTTCCCCTTGATGGAATATTAATGTCTGGGAAATGAGGTTATGTTTGTGTCTATAGGCATTTAATTTAAACAGTTTTTGTTGTGGTTTTGACATAATTGTCTTAGAATTTCCTTTAAGAGCTCAATGAGAATCGAATAAAACCGGATTTTCTATTGATGCTGATCTTGAGACAAAGCTTTCCATGTAAGCTTTTTGCTTATATAGCAATCCTCAGGCCAGTGAATAAATCATACTTTTCCTTTTTTAAAGATTTTATTTATTTTATGTATATAAGTACACTGTAGCTGTCTTCAGACATACCAGATAAGGGTATTGGATTCCATTTACAGATGGTTGTGAGCCACCATGTGGTTGCTGGGAATTAAATTCATGGCCTCTGGGAGAGCAGTCAGTGCTCTTAACCACTGAGCCATCTCCAGCCCAAGCAAGAATACTTTTTTCTTTTCCTTTCTTCTCTCTCTTTCTCTCTCTCTCTCCTCTCTCTCTCTCCTCTCTCTCTCTCTCCTTTCTTTTTTTGTTTTTTTCAACAGGGTTTCTCTGTGTAGCCCTGGCTGTTCCTGGAACTTGCTTTGTAGACCAGGCTGGCCTCTAACTCATCTACCTGTCCCTGTCTGTCTCCTGAGTGCTGGGATTAAAAGACCTGTGTCACCACGCCTGACTGTGATTTTGCAGTGCTGACTTAACTTGCAAAACTTTTGTAGGTTAAGGTGTTTTGTAATTTTGTAAGGACTGTAAATTTTGGGTTCATTTCATGTCCTCACTTAAGTCTTTCTCAGTATGTTTTTTGAGGCAGGGTTTTGTGTAGCCTAGGCTGGCCTCCAATACCATATGTAGTTAAGGATAACCATAGGCTCCCAATCTTGCTGTCTCTAATAGAACTTCCCCACTGCACTTAGTACATTTTTTTGTTGGTGCTGTTTTCCTTTTTGGGAAGCTTGGGATGACCTCAAATTCTCCATCTTAGGCTTCTGCTTCAGTGGTGGAATTACAGGTGCGTGCCAGCATTCTAGGTCCTGTAGTCAATCTGTGAAGCACAAAGTGCTGTGTGCAGTGTGCGGAGTACCTGAAAAGAAACCAGAAGGCATTTGAATAATTGCTATGAGCACACTAGAAAGAAAGCACGTTGAATGTAAGGAAGACTGGAACAGGTCATCTGAGCCCTGGCCTTTGCTGCTTGTTAGCTACATTCTTGAACAAGACTCCTCATTCTCAAAGCTCCACTGGAGTCATTTGTAAAAGAGACACAGAAGTTTGCTTCAGAAAGTTGTGAAGATTCACTAAGATGTTTATGAAAGTGCTTGGCACACAGTAGTGTCATCTTACTGAATTTTCCACTGAGCAGCCAACATCTCATGGATGACAACTGAATCTCTGTTCTGGGATCCTGCTCACGCTGGTGTTTCTAGTCTTGTGGGTCCTCTGAAGGACTGTATGAGCCAAACCAACTCCTCCTTCCTGCAACACCTAACACCGTGTCCGGTCTGTACTTAGACTTTCGCCAGCATCTTGCTTCACTTCTCATCCGTGTGTTCAGTCAGTTTCTGACTAGTTGTATTTACTGCTTTTCAGCCCCCCTCCCCTGTTCATTTCTGTTCTCCATGGTTCTTTATGCTTTTATTACCCATTTGAAAATGGTTTTATTATCATGCCTTAATCACAGAGAACAGTGTTTAACTGTGATGATGTGTTCATGCATGTGTATAATGGACTTTGATTACATTCATTTGGAGACTGCTGTAATACTCTTTTGCTTTCTTGACTTTCAGTCTGTGTCTTCATATTCTCTTCAGTTCATCCTGTGTACTGCTTCTTATTTTAAAAAAACCTTTTGCTCCCATTGCCTGTATATTCAAATCTAAATTCTCCAATCTTAAATTCTCTGATTTTGTCTTTTTTTTTTTTTTTTTTTTTTTTGCTTTTTCAAGACAGGGTTTCTCTGTGTAGCCCTGGCTGTCCTGGAACTCACTCTGTAGACCAGACTGGCCTCGAACTCAGAAATCCTCCTGCCTCTGCCTCCCAAGTGTTGGGCTTAAAGGCTTGCGCCACCACCGCCCGGCTTGTCTATTTTTTTAAAGATGTTTTTAAACTTCATTTTTAATTACTTGTGTTTGTCTTTGTGTGGATATGTGCCTGAGGAGGCCAGAAGAGGGGTTGGGTTTCCTGGAGCTGGAGTTACAGTGTTTGAGAACCTCCTCGTGTCCATGCTTAGAACTGGACTCGGCCCTTACCAGGAGCAGGGTTCCTGTAGCCTGGGCCTCTTACTATGTAGCTGTAGATAACCTTGGACTCAGTGATCCTTCAGCCTCTGTTTTCCCAAATGCTGGGATTTTAGGCAGGTGCCATCACACCCAGCTTCAGTCTGATGCTT